TAATGTCCGTTCATTAGTGCTAGGAAAAAGATACGTAGGAGTTGAAGCTTTCAGAAATATATGCATCGGTATCTCGCGTTCTAAGATAGAAGACTTTGCATTTACATACGCCGATTTGGATCATATTCTATTTTCCGGAGGTGTCTTTGATTTACTCCGGAATCATTATTTTTCTGTTCTCGACTTCACCGGCAACCTTGTATCATACCTATCTCCATTTATCTTCTCTGATTTGACAAGGGTCAGTAAACTAAATTTAGATCGGAACTATATTCGGGATATAGCGCCAAGCTACTTTGATGGCATGCACAAATTAAAAGTATTGCAAATGGACAGTAACTGGTTAGAATATATCAATCCTAATAAAAAAACTTGGACAATAGATCTAGTCGAGCTGAACATATCTCAAAATCATTTTTCAATAATTTCAGAATATTCATTTGTCGGTTTGGATAACTTAACTCTCTTAGACTTGAGCTCAAACCCCTACCTTGTTGCCTTAGAACTAGGATCATTTGCGGGACTTGACAGCATTAAAACTGTTTATTTGTCGGAGTGCAAGATTGTATACCTTTGGCGATTGAACATCCCAAACTTGGAATCACTTTCCCTTAACAGCATGACTTTTACTTTCGAACCAGGAGAATCCTTTAAAGGAACACAATTTCTTGTAAATTTGGACATAATAAATGTTGAAATTAATATCTTACATTTGTGGAATGCGACTCTGAACGTTTCTCTTTTTGATGGATTGTCTCACCTTAAGACTCTGGATATGAGTAAGAATCCTGGTTTGAGCATTATCACTAATTTGCCTCTTGGGATCTTTCGGCAACTGTCTGCTTTGCAAGAGCTTAATTTAGACTACTGCAAAATTCGAAAATTACATCCGATGTTATTTGCAAGACTGTACTCGCTTCAGAAGCTGGCGTTAAGAGGAAACAAGATTAAGCAACTTCATTCGGATTTACTGTCGGGGTCAAAGTATTTAAAAAGCATTGACCTTGAAGGAAACTTGTTTAAATACCTCGCTAAAGACATTTTTTAAACAATAACATGCTGACAAATATTTCACTATCTAAAAACAAAATATCGCTTTTTAACAAAAGCACTTTTACACCTATTACATCTTCTCTTTCATCCCTTGATCTTTCCGGGAACCCAATTATATGCAACTGTGATCTGAAGTGGCTTCTTGTTTGGCTAAATGGGCCGATACGCCTCATCAATGAGGAAGCAACTAGCTGTTCATTCGCGTCAATGGTTCCTGTTCGTGAGAAACCTCTGCTCGATTTTGATGTTAACATACTTTGTACATCTCACAACATTCTCCTTGTTTGTTTAATTCCCCTCGCCGGCATCAGCGTGATTGTCATCGTCGTACTCGTTTATCACAATCGATGGCCGCTGAGATACAAATTATTTCTCCTGAAACTAGCAGCCCTCGGGTATATGGAGATACAAGATGCTAGAGACCACAATGATTACGAGTTCGATTTGAACGTTATCTTTTACGACGATGACGAAGAATGGGTTCGCCAATTTCTCCAACCAACTCTTAAAGAACAACTTCCACAGTTTCAGAAGAACGTCTTTGGTGACGGAGATCTCGTGCTGGGTATGCACTACTTGGATTCCGTTGACTACGTGGTAAGCCATAGTTACAAGACCATCATTTTACTCAGCACAGCCGCCGTGCAGGATCGCTGGTTTATGCTCAAGTTCCGGACGGCCATGGATCACGTGAGTGACACCCAGACCGAATTCGTAGTCGTGGTCTTCCTCGAAGACATCCCAGACGATGAGATACCTTTCCTGGCGAGGTTGTATCTCAGAGATGGCAGACCTTATCTCCATTGGACTGAAGACGTGAGAGGACACGAATATTTCTGGGAAAAATTGGTCAAAACTTTGACGATTAATCTAAGGACCAATGACTTAGTCCCAAACGAGTAGGACATTATCAACTTGATGATTATTCCAAGTAAAGCTATTCGTGATGTTAAAATATCACATTCCCCCCCCCCCCCAGCATTACTGCTTAGATGAATCAATATTTCAATGTAAAGCTGCTTGCACAGATAAAATTGTTACAGTCTTAAATAGGCACATTTAGAATATTAAGAATAGAATACAATAGTCATCACAACAAGGATTCCTGCGAAATATGGAGTAATAGTGTTGTCGAGGTGTGATCTCACTGGTTTGTTTAATGCGTTACGCATGGTCGTTTGGATATGATGAGGTCAACCACGGCGTTTTGATTATTTTCATTATGTGTGAACGAATGGCATATTATATGCGCAACAAAGGTCCTACGCGTACGTATGCACTGAAATACACTTAAGTCATTATTATTAAAAAAATAATAATAATCGCTGCGTTTTACCATGGCACATCCGAACAAGGGTCAAGTGAGCCACAATCTTTATTATGATAGACACATATTCACATCTGTGCATAGAACCACTACGGAAGTATTGATATATATTTGAATCGCATCGTGATGTTTTACCAGTATATTGAATGTTACATTCAGTGTATATCTTACTCAATAACGACAGTACATTATATTCATAAGCGTTGTACACAGGCGCGTACGCATGATTTTTTCAAGGGGAAGGGGGGGGGGGGGGGGGTTATGAGGTCACTTTTTTTTTCCCCAAAAAAAATCGCAAAGACTCAGCCAAACGCTGAATAAGCGGGGGGGGGGGGGGGGGGTAAGAGGTCACTTTTGGGGGGGGGGGGGTCGCAAGAAATCGCAACGACTCAGCCGACCGCTGAATGAGCGGGGGGGGGGGGGGTAAGAGGTCACTTTTTTGGGGGGGAGGGGGTCGCAAAAAAATCGCAACGACTCAGCCGACCGTTGAATAAGCGGGGGGGGGGGGGGGGTAAGCTTATCTAGCGCGAGTCGGTTTGAAACGATCTTTAGATCTTCAGTAGATCAAGATGGATGCCCAGATACCGACGTAGACCTACCAAGTCTCACGCCTATAGCTGGTCCCTTATGTTTGCTTTTGCACAGTAGAATAGTAACTGTTCAATGTACATTGTATACTTTTGTAAACACTACATGCACTTTATGTAAAATAGATCAAATTTGAAATGTAATTCTTTTTTTCAAAGAAACGACTTATGATGGCTGTGCATTAAACCCATTTGAACGTGTGCAGGTTGATGTTATTGCTTCTCTATTGAAATAAATGTTTACATTGTGAATTTTACATCAGAAGCGCAATTTGAGTTAGTTTACATTGTCAACATTTTAAATGGTAATCCATATCGCACTTCAAAATGCTTAAGGGGTTAAAATTTACAATACTTGTTTAGGTGTACACTTTGTTTTGAAAAACCCGTTTAGGATGTGAAGTCGGGAAAAAACACGCGAAACCCTCATTTAGGGTGTATTTTGGTTTCAGAAGAAATCATCGTTTAGGGGGTGTCTGAAAAACCTGTGGTCGCGCATGCCTACAGTTATTCTACATTACTGAGACCCCCACACAATCACAGTTACATTTCATACAACCAATATGACAACAATATTTGTATATATCATTCAATAATTACTTGCTTCAATATAAGCCATCTTTAATAAAGTTAACTCATTTCTCATGTACTGCTCATCCTTATAATATGTCTTTATTATATTTTTTTGAATGAAAAAAGTCTTATTAACTCGTTATTGATAAATAGTTGTTGCTGTATGATAATACAGTTTAATGCATTATGTCGCTCCTCGTTTGAAACAACAAATATATTTTCAGGGGTGAAATTTGAGGCAGAAAGTACGTGAAGTACTTTCCTACATTAACTGCATTAACCTGAATACTTATACAAAAAAAATGTTCATTAGCTTCTTTTTTCGGTATCGCAAGACAAACAGAGATCATTATTGACAAAGTTTAATTTGAATAAAGTATCATTTTAAAACAGAATTCGATTTAAAAACTGTTTACAGGAAATACCTAAGTTTATTATCCATTGTAAATCTAAAACTCATGTCATTAAAATACTTTATTGCATTGTCTGAACGAAAATCTGAATTATTTTCCCATATAAAAGCTATATATTTTTTTTTACAATGTTCTATAAAAACTTCTACAGCTTTTTTTCGTCTAGCATTAATACGGAAATATATGGTAAAACAAGTGATTCGCACATTTTATGTTTAGATTTTTCCAGGTTGGAAGTAAATGAGCATCGGACAACTTTTTAAACTTTGATTTACATTGAAGAATTTCGCGACAAAATAGATTCCTTCTTTACTTATTATATCATTAATGAACATAATGCCCTTGCCAATGATTTGAAGAAAAAAAAAGTTTTCCCACTGATTTGTCATTACTATTTCTCCATAAAGGTTGCACTAACAAATCTAAGTTTGTTGTTGTTTAAATAAATGAAGACATTGAAAATAAAGACAAATTGAAAAAAGTTTCTTTCCAGAACGGATTCCCTAATTTTTCTGCTAAGTTTTTAAAAAATAAATGTCACCATAAAATAAGTGGAAAGGCAAGGTGCCAGAACATCCAGTGCTATATTTGTTTCTTGGCTAGTGAATTTCGATGAAAAATTAAACCTAAACAAAAAACCAGGATGCCGAATTCTTGGCAATGGGATTACTCATATTCGCGTGTATTTTGATGGCGGAATGATTTATTTAATTCAATGAAAGGCAACGAAGGTACTTATTTCAATACGAATTTAAGATCCATTTCCTTACGCGAATCCTACCTGTTTTCACACTAATTAATATTACAATCTTAATAAATTTTATTCCAATTGAATTTTAAGAAAGCTTTATCACTCTGAAGTTAGGATAATAGGTTTGGAGGTTAGAAAGCCAAGGAATGGTTACATCTGGACCAGAATAAAATCGTTTTGCTAGCGGCGTACCGGGTTTCCACGGCGTGTACTCTTTGGAATATCCTAGGACAAACCGGATTCTCCACATCAGTCCCTTCTCTCGGAGGAGAGGTAGAAAACTCTCCAAAAAATGGATGAATCCACTACAAGGAGATAAGACTGTGAACAGATGTAATGCGTGCATTTGTCCGTCCGCTGGCGGCCATTTTGAAATGTTAACCCGACTGCTACTGCTAGTTCAGTATCAGCTTTTCGGCGTGCGCGTTCCGGCTACCTGAGGTACTGGGTTCTCTCGGGCATGTAGCCATGAACTCGTCGTCGACGCACAGCCCCATGTTGTCGGATAGTTGGCGTCCATGTGGGGGAAGGGGCGAACGACTGTCGTGATCGTAGCTTACCCGGTCGAGGGAGACCCCTGCGTAGTTCTTCCAGGAGCTTGCTGAAAAGCGACGCGCCAGACTCCTGGACAAGGCCCTAAGAATGAGGGCGTCGTGATGCATCGATGCTGCCAAAGACAAAACAGATATTTCTAATTTGCATTATTCTCATTAGTCCTTTACATGGCGGATTTAAGGGGGCCCTGCACTCACCAGGACCTTCACTTTCGAAACGTGCCACTTTCAACATGTTTAATCAACATCGTCATCAGTGGCGTATCTATATATTAGGAGGTGCAAAGGTGTTACGTAGGCCTACGTGTCCCAGGCAACACTTGAAGGAGAGCCAAAAAACACGAAAGATTGAGGGGGTGCGCAAATAAAATGACTAAACACAAAAGAGAGAAAAAGAAAATGGACTCCTAATTTAAATTCAATATTGATGGTATCAAGGAATATGATTTTGTTAACCTCAGTGTTGAGTCGAAAGCTCAGGCGCTATTGCTTAGTTCCATGCTAATTCTATATTTATGTGGCTAGGTTATATTTACTTAACACATGATCGTTCAGTTGCTAAAATGGTGATGACTTAGTGGGTATACACCCCTAGTGAGGACAAATAACATGTTTTTTGCTTACTAACCCTTACAATTTGAAATGGATTTAGCATGGAACTAAGCTTGCGGGGTTCTATATATGATCATACTGGGTAAGATTTACATGTTTAATTTGTCTGCAAAATGTGTGAAATTGTATGCAAAGAAACGAATTTGAATTCACGGAAGATGCTATTACGTAATCGCGAATCGTCTCGCTTTAAATTGAATGAAAATTTTACGAAAAAGACACACGTTTTAATTCGAATGAAAATAAAATGTTAATGAATGATCGTTTTAGGAATTTGAATGCTAAAAAACGAATTTGAACGAAAAATAACAGCTGCGGTGACAGAATCGGCGAAATTGAATGAACATAAAAAGAATTATGTGGCCAACTTACGAAATTGACCGAGAAATTCTATTCTACCAGTGCTTGTGTTACAGGACACCACGCGCCAGTAGAAAAATGGGGAAAATAAAAAGACACTGGCTTGCTCAGGCTTCCGAAAATCTTTAAAGGCAATTCACGGTTTTTACCTGAATGAACCGGTTCATTACAACTTTCAAACACAATTTGCTAACGTATATACATATATAATTCGAATACTAGGACACTACTCACGCTTAAATTTCACGGATAAAAAATTACGTGACATATTTATAATTCGTGAAAGTTCTCCAGAATTTGATGTTGGCTGCAAAAGGGATACACTACTTTTAATACGGTTCAGTGGTAGAAATTATACAATTATATGAAATATAAAATTAATCAGACGAAGAAGTAAAAAAAAATAGTGGAGAATTCTTGGAGGACACAAATGAAAAAGTGGTAATATATAGAAAGAATTGAATTCAAACTGGTATTGAAGGGCTACTTAGTCTGTATTTGGCACAAATAACAATATATACATGCATCATAAATACATTGTAAGTTATAGAATGATCTACATCTCAATGATATTTTGATAGAATATTCGTTAGACTTACCCATAATGATGGAAATGTGTTGCTTTTGAATCGTCCCGATATAATATTCTAGATACATACGGCCTATAATCGTCAAATTAGTTCAATTTGTAATGATGTATGATAACGGTAAACTATCATGCTCTGCTGATTCTCCAGTGCATCAGCTGCTGTGAATAAAGTATGGTTACACGATAAGTATTTACTATTACTAGCGATGTAAGGCACGAGTCATATCCTATTGTGAAATACAGACAGGACGTGAAAGGGCCCAATACATGGTATTACCAATAGCCTTCAATTATTCATACGAAGTACTATCATTGTGTCATCAATCATGTGGTTCCTGTTGGATTTTTTTGTTAATTTATATAACATTGTGGGTGTGTGGTTTCCCCAAACGACATAGCACAGTGTATAACTAATAAAGACCACTACATAAACTCATCAAACCGCATGCATACCCAACACCCACATACACAAACATAACAACAGAAAAATATTATGCATAAACAGATCCCCTTTCAGAGTGCCAGGGCAAACTCCGTTCGGCAAGGATCACATGTAACTATCGCTATACACTCTCATTAACAGATAATATAGTATGTGTAAATAAGAAAAAGTATGTGTAATTCAGAGATTTCATCTTAAGTTTTAGAAAATAAGAAAAGAGTGAATAAAAGAAAACCAAGAATATCGGTAATCAAACATCATAATTTTTGTATAATTTTCACTTTCATTTTATTTACAAAGTAAATTCTAGTGAGATACATATTATATTATGTAAATGCATAAAAAAACGTGTAGTTTATCTTCTATTCTCAATCGATTTTATAGGATACATGTACTACATGGCTATAGACAAATTAAAGAAAAACCCTCAGATACAGACAGTGAAAGGGCCCAACACGTGGTGTTACCAATAGCCTCCCATTCTGTATACTCACATAGACAACTACAGAGAATATCACAAGATACATACAGATTGGTGGCAACTTGTAAATGCCTGAAACTACCTTTACGGAGATCAATAACCCCAACAAAATGATTAGGCAAGGGCTTTGTAAGAAGAAATGAAATTGACCACACATTTTAGGAGACATTCAAATGAGGATTTATGAGCATCAGGGGTAAAAACAAAAAAAAAGATTTCATAGCAAGGCCTGAATGGGAGTTCGAAAGGAGGCTAACTTTCATGTGTGAGCGCAAGCGCAAATGCATAAACTGATCTGCTCGCAAGCCTTATTGTACCTTTAAGTTAAAGTGCAATTTTGGAAATAAACTTGCACTCTTTATGTAGATTTGATTTGTTTTTATTTATTTTATTCACATAGTGTGTACACATCATCGTTATAAATAGATCATCAATGGCATAATCAATTAAATGGATGCATGCATATCCGTCAGAAGCTTTATTCAAGGCTTGATGGTGACGACCAACAAAGATTTCAACTTCTATAAAGAAAGAAGTATTTGAAACTGATTGTTTCAATTTAAATAGTGTGCCTGGTATTGAACCCAAAATATACAGTGAGCAATATTTTGGGTGATAACATCTCCTTATACACAGGACAAGATTCATCCAATCCAAACTTGTACCTTCTATTTTAAATAGTAAATTCCACTACTTACACACTTATATAAAATCAAGAAAGACGATTTGGTAATGCATTTCTCCCAATTTATAAATAAAACTGTATTGTGAGAATTTTCGGGAAGAGGGTATATTTATTAATTTGCAAAAAAGCATAACCAAATTGTCTTTAAAATGTCTCTTTATGGACGCCAACAAGAGAACATTAACTGAAACTTAAATAAATTGATATACAAATACATAACAATATGAATTTACACTGCAGTAATATACAAGCATTAAGACTAGATTCTCCTAGGAGGATTTAAAATCCATCGTTCTGGATCATATATTAAACGTACAATTGGAACCAGGAGGGTGTTATTTCTGTCTTACAATATACCCCCTTGCTCGAAACGGATGATCTCAAGTTTTCAGCAACGTAGTAAAATATCTGTTTATTACTTTTTTTCCTTTAAATAGAGACCAAAAATAGAGTCCCCACTCCCAATAATGGGAGAGATAGATGGACGATTCGTTGCAATGTGTAATAATTTCAGACTAAAATACGTCTTAAAAGTAAAGTACAGACTCATAAATAAGACAGTTCATGGTATAACACATTTGTAATACAACTCAAATTGGGAGTAATAAAATCACATTTCTTTTCTTGAGTTGTTCACTTAATTACTACATTTGGATGATTAAAGATTGATACACTGCGACGGCTTTTCTAAAACCTGTAGAAGAATGGCAACTACGTCAAACAAAGGTCCCTTTTGTATTCACTGAGCTCCGTTTTATAAGATACATAAAGGTAAAGTGTATCACACTTTATATCATCATTAAAAAGAACTGCCACGGATTATCGCAGCTTATCTGAATGGGGTTTACACCTGATCAAAACACTTACTAATAATAGAACATCCTTCAAAATAGTTTTTCTTTCAAATGACCACACTCGAAGTGCTACTAACAGCGCCTTGACTAACATCGTACAGTGTGTATGAAGAAGAGCACCATTGCAGTTCCACCACTTTCCACACCGGCTTTCTCTGTCTTTGGATGCTGTTCGACCATTCACATCTGATACGGGTCAAAACAAGACTCTTCATCCCGCAGAGTGAGCAATACACTTCTTAAAAGTATATACTCAAATTTCTATTCACGCCAATGTTCAATAGTTCTTCTCGTTGTCTATACTTGTACAGCTTTTATTCAGTTCCTTCTAAAGCTGATGAATCCAGACACGTCACGACCATGTAGGTGAAAATAGACACGAGTTGAGCTACAGAGAACTCCGCATCTTGGAACCGAAGAACTAATGTCTTCAACAACCAGCTTGTGTTAGGCTTGTCTGGTAAAGTATCGATTCACACAGCTATAATTCAAACCTAAAGTCAAGCAAATGCGTGAAATGGTTTGGCATTAGGCACAAAGAGATTAAGAAGTTGATCGCACAAAGGAGAATGGCACGTTGCGAATGAAGCAGCACTCCCTATAAAAGCCATATGCTTCCTTGATCATGTGAATATCCAGTGGTGAACTACACCGTGGCATGTATATAGAGAATTTAATCCACTTTGACAGGATATCCTCTAGTTCTTCAGGTCAGGTCGTGTAGGCTCGGAGTTAGCCCCTTGAAGTAATGTAATTGAACATAGAGAGAAAGTTGCATGCAACAGAATCTCGCAATATAATCCAGATGCGCCCAACGGCCCTGGGTCATGTGAATGTCTGCTTGTTAACTATAGCAGAAAGAGTGTCTAGTCCATGTGAGAAGATATCAACTAGCTCCTGAGGGCTTCTAATCTGGCCTCCATGGTTCCAAGAATACAAGTTACCGATCCAAATATTATTTGGCGTCACCTATGACTGGGAGGGGAAGAGAGATTTGAATCACTGTTACCCTCGGGGTCTCTATAACTGATTGGGGGTGTGGAAGTATACCACTATACCGGGATTTCTCCCGTACTCTTGAACAAAAAGTGTAGTGGGTTCTTAACGTGCAGAGGTTGAGACTCTCTTCTTCTTGGGGACTACATTAAACGTCCTATCCGAGGGACGCATTTTTTCCTTCTCCCACTGTAACCTAGCCTGCATCTATGACACAGGGGAGGGGCACGTTAAAAAACAACGGAGGCTTCAGTCCTCCACCAGGGATAGAGTCGACCAATGATCTTTGGTTCGACAAACGGACGCTCTACCAGCTGTAGCCACTCACCTCCTCATTTTACAAACCATACAGACATGATGCTTCCCATACTAAACCTATCATCACTCTGGGGGGGCGTTTTACAAAGCCTTTTGTCAATGACAAATAACAAAAATCAGAGACAAATCTGCTGATACGCTGATGCGCTTAGTGCCCTAAGGCATTAATCCTTATTACCAGGTCCCTCGGAGAGGACCTTAAGCCGTCTGTCTTCTGGTTGCTTACTAACAAGAATTTATTGCTTTCTTAGCTGTCAGGTAAAATAACCACCACTATCATGATGTTTGTAACAATAATTATAAAATATGTTGTATTGTCCTTTGCGACCGACCCAAATATCTTAAAACCTAGTTCGAAGTTTTGACGTTTTATTAAATTATAAGAGAAAGCAGACGATTCGTTGTACCGTTTTCGACCCTTAATAAGCCATATTTATCTGAATTCAGTTTCCCCCCTCGCGCGAAGCGCGGAAGCCTTGACGTTTCCTTAAATTATTAGAGAAAGCAGACGATTGGGTGTACTGTTCTCGACTCTTAATTCCCGTCTGAATTCTGTTTCCCTTTCCCGCGCGAAGCGCGAAAAGCTTAGACGTTTGATTTAATTGTTATAGGAAGAAGACGATTCGGTGCACTGTTTTCGACTCTTAATAAGCCCTATTTATCTGAATTCAGTTTCCCCCTCTCGCGCGAAGCGCGGAAGCCTTGGCGTTTCCTTATATTATTAGAGAAAGCAGACGATTGGGTGTACTGTTCTCGACTCTTAATTCTCGTCTGAATTCAGTTTCCCCTTCCCGCGCGAAGCGCGAAAAGCTTAGACGTTTGATTTAATTATTAAAGAAAGAAGACGATTCGTTGCACCGTTTTCGACTCTTAATAAGCCCTTTTTATCTGAATTCAGTTTCCCCCTCTCGCGCGAAGCGCGGAAGCCTTGACGTTTCCTTATCGTGACATACTGTATACGCGTAGGCTATACATAAACAAAATAACTCATTTCTCATGCATTATGCTGCAATTGAAACAATCACATTTTTTTCTTCTTCTTCTTCCTTTTTTTCCCCTCTTTTTTTTGGGTAATATCAGGGGGGATGATTGTACAGGCCATCCCCCTACTTCAAACCAGGGGGGATGCAGCCCCCCATCCCCCCCCCGGGATTTACGCCCCTGCTTGAGGCTACCCTGAGGCCGCCGCAAGTATCTCTCGATTTCGGGGGCGTACGGCCGCCGTATCCTAGCCGTAGAGCAGATGTGACCTAGGCATAAGTGACACACTGTTAATGATACTGTGGCGGACATGATTTCGCCACCTTGGCTTGACACGGAATATTTGTCAGGATGCCCCGTGTCGGCCAGGCGCTCTCCGTCCGTTTGGACAAAATATATGCCCGTAGCTTAATGGCTGGAGTCATTAACTGCTTCACACGTATCTCAACAATCATTCGTCCATCGACTACAATCGGTCACCTAAACGTCTCGTTCACAGCATCAATCAATTGAGCATCCTTCGAACAATCAATTTCCCTTGTCAACACTTGTCACAGGTTCTCGTCCCTTAGTTTCACTGCTCCAAGAAATCAAACCAATCATGATGTGTAGGTTGAAAGTCTTTATTGCGATCCATTCAACAATCGGGTAAACTCAGTACAAGTACAGTGCAAACTATGTGAGACTTAGCATAGAGGCTTAGGCCAGGCCAACTATCAGGCCAACTATCGGGCCAACTATATCAGGCCAACTATCAGGCCAACTATCAGGCCAACTATATCAGGCCAACTATCAGGCCAACTATCAGGCCACCTATCAGGCCAACTATCAGGCCACCTATCAGGCCAGCCTCGGTGAGGCTGGCCTGTATCGGATACAGTGCAGTGGAAAGCCCTAGATGCACAACCCTGACCATCATAACAATTTCCCTATACATAAACGTGTAAAAGAACAATTATGTCCTCGTTAGTAAAACAACACTTCAACACAATATTTCTGCTAATCCCATAAAATCTTCACATATAATCTTCAGTATAACCCCTTATTCCTGATTAGATCACTACTATACAAGTAATATCCCTAAAAGAAACATGATAATTGCACCAACATGATCAAAATATGTAATTTATGCTCATTTTCCTTCAGTTTGGTAATTGCTAAATCAACGATGCACCATATTGCTATAGCGCATGCTCGTACAACAGAAAATGCTTAACCTTCGTCCAATACTAAAACACTGATTTGTTACACGATTCCCTTCCCTCCCAAGCTTGGTCCCCAAGCTAACTTATCTCTAACTTATGCAACAACAACAAATCATAACATGTTATCAAAACAAATCAAAACTAAAATCCAAGTCTTTTATGACAGTTCAAAATGGCTCTTTCCAAAAGTGTTCAACTGTTCAAAAGTTAGTTCGATTCGTTCTCAGCATCCCTGTGCTCATTGTTCTTTCTCTCCATTGTCGTTCCGCACTTCCGTCAGCTCGACCAGTTGCAACACCGTCAATGCTACCTCCCGTCGTCCCCAAGCTCCGTCAGCTCGACCAGCTGTGACGCAGTCAGTCTTACTGCCCGTTGTCCCCAAGCTCCTTCAGCTCGACCAGCTGTGACGCGGCAGTCCCACTGCACGTCGCCCCCAAGCTTTATCAGCTCGACCAGCTGTGACGCCGTACGACCTACTGCCCTTCGTCGTCCCCCAGCTCCGTCAGCTCTACCAGCTTGTGACGCCGTCAGGCCTTCTGCCCGTCGTCCCCCAGCTCCGTCAGCTCTACCAGCTTGTGACATCGTCAGACCTACTGCCCGTCGTCCCCCAGCTCAACCAGCTGTGACGCCGTCAGCCTTACTGCCTGTCGTCCCCCAGCTCCGTCAGCTCTACCAGCTTGTGACGCCGTCAGACTTACTGCCTATGGTCCCCCAGCTCCGTCAGTGCTACTGCCGTCGTCCCCCAGCTCTGTCAGCTCTACCACTCCACACCATCAGCTATCCCACTTCTGACACCATGTGTGGCGGACATGATTTCGCCACCTTGGCTTGACACGGAATATTTGTCAGGATGCCCCGTGTCGGCCAGGCGCTCTCCGTCCGTTTGGACAAAATATATGCCCGTAGCTTAATGGCTGGAGTCATTAACTGCTTCACACGTATCTCAACAATCATTCGTCCATCGACTACAATCGGTCACCTAAACGTCTCGTTCACAGCATCAATCAATTGAGCATCCTTCGAACAATCAATTTCCCTTGTCAACACTTGTCACAGGTTCTCGTCCCTTAGTTTCACTGCTCCAAGAAATCAAACCAATCATGATGTGTAGGTTGAAAGTCTTTATTGCGATCCATTCAACAATCGGGTAAACTCAGTACAAGTACAGTGCAAACTATGTGAGACTTAGCATAGAGGCTTAGGCCAGGCCAACTATCAGGCCAACTATCGGGCCAACTATATCAGGCCAACTATCAGGCCAACTATCAGGCCAACTATATCAGGCCAACTATCAGGCCAACTATCAGGCCACCTATCAGGCCAACTATCAGGCCACCTATCAGGCCAGCCTCGGTGAGGCTGGCCTGTATCGGATACAGTGCAGTGGAAAGCCCTAGATGCACAACCCTGACCATCATAACAATTTCCCTATACATAAACGTGTAAAAGAACAATTATGTCCTCGTTAGTAAAACAACACTTCAACACAATATTTCTGCTAATCCCATAAAATCTTCACATATAATCTTCAGTATAACCCCTTATTCCTGATTAGATCACTACTATACAAGTAATATCCCTAAAAGAAACATGATAATTGCACCAACATGATCAAAATATGTAATTTATGCTCATTTTCCTTCAGTTTGGTAATTGCTAAATCAACGATGCACCATATTGCTATAGCGCATGCTCGTACAACAGAAAATGCTTAACCTTCGTCCAATACTAAAACACTGATTTGTTACAATACATTGGATATGAGCGCGCGATGACCTGAATAATAAAATCTAAATTATACACTATGCTATGTCGTTGTGGGAATCCCCAACCTCATATTGTAATCCGAAAAACAAAAGATAAAAAAAAAGAAAAGACATGAATCAATAATTGGTGACACACTGTAAGAACGTGGTACATGACAACACTTGTATTTCACAATCGGACATGACTCGTGCCTTACAACAACTAGTAATAGTAGATATAATCTGGCAAATAGTTTGACAGCAGCTGATCTCCTGGGCAATCAGCAGATCTAGCATGAAAGTTTACTTTTAGCATACATCATTAAAATTTCAACGAATTCTACAAAATTCAATCGGGACCCTTTAAAAGCAACACATTTCCACTACTATGGGTAACTATAACGCATATTGTATTAAAATATCATTAAAATGTGGATCATTCTATAATTTAGAATGTAGTAATGATGCATATATATTTTTTTTTGTTGTTGCTAAATCCAGACTAACTTAAAGTACAATACCAGTTTTTAATTGAATTTTTGTTAAATACTACCACTTTTTCATTTGTGTCCTCCAAGAATTCTTTGCTATTTTGTTGTGTCTTCGTCTGATTTTTTAATTTCATACTTCATTAAATCATATTGTTTATGTCTACCACCGAACCATATTAAAGGTAGTATCTTCCTGTTGCAGCCAATTTCAAATTAATTATCTTTGCAGGAACTAGGAATATGCCACGTATGTCCTATCTGTGAAATTTAAACGTTAGCAGTGTCCTAGTATTCAAATAATGCAAGGAAACCCGTATACTTTCTAGACTTCATTGTCAAACACTATTGAGCGACTGACTGACTTTTTTTTTCTTGGGAAATCACATTACATAAAATGAGCTGTAAAGGGTACATGAGTTTGTGTACATATTAGTCAATTAACTTCTTGTAATGGCCCACATTAAGCTGATCGAATCTTTGCGCAGCACAAAACGTACGACCATAAGGTGCAAGGGTCTGAAAATCTGACTATTTTCTACGCAATTTTTTTTTTAACGCGTTGCGAAAATTCCAAACGGCCGATAATTTGATGTTGGCTGCAAAATGGATACACTACCTTTAATATGGTCGATATAATTCCACATAGAGGTAATTACCAGTTCTTAATCTTTTCAAGGGAGTTTTAGTTGGTATTATCACTTGTCTACCAGAGGATTCACACACGTTTATATTTTGAGCCTTAAATATGTTTTATATGATATGTCATCGTGTAATAAAAAGCTAAAATTCAGTATTTATTGGATTTTCACACATGCACACTTATATACATGCATGTATGTATTATGTCCGTATGATCTTTAAACAATAAATTATTTCAAAGGAAATCAGATTTTTTTTAAAAGCTTTGGTATGTAAGTCTAGGAATGTTGATAAATCCAGATTAAGTGAAGCAATTTTATGCTCATTTACTGGTAAATTGTTACTGTTTTCCTATACTAGTGTACTTTGGAAAAACTATGTGTCTCTGACAATATTTTGCATCTTACATGATTTATTTAAAACACTTTTGCCAATTAATTACTGAATGCTCATTTTCATCTCATTCCAAGCGACAATTCTCTCTAATCTCTCTCTCTCTCTCTCTCTCTCTCTCTCTCTCTCTCTCTCTCTCTATTTATACTGTATATAATCATTCTCACTTATTAATTGATTCATCTGTCGGAATCATAAAGTACATTCACAACTACAATTTAATGAAAGAAATCTACAAAATAAATGTATGCAGAGAAAATTTTATTACTAACAAAAATAAAAACAAATAATAACTGTAAAAAATATTCATATAATCAAAGACAAATGAAGTAATATCTTTCTTTTACAAAAATGAATATTCATTATTTACAAACATAAGTACAAATAATGAAATACATGTCTATGATTCATATACAATCCATTTGTGTAAGGCAATAGCAAAACCATGTCATGAAACTGGAAAATTTTATCCCCTTTTAACCAAATACCCAAATGTGGCATTTTCATATATTTACGAATATATATATACAAATAATGAAAAACATATGAATGATACATATACAATTTACTCCGTTAACTTTGTGTGAGCCAATAGCCAAACCGGAAATATTTATCCCCTTTGACCAAATGCCAAAACAGGAATTTTTTATCCCCTTTGACCAAATACCAAAACCAGACATTTTTTATCCCCTTTGACCAAAGTGCCAAAACCGGAAATTTTTATTCCCTTTGACCAAATACCAAAACCGGAAATTAGCCTTTCCACTGAATATGAATGATACGTGACACGTTAGATTTGAGCAAATTGTGTTTAAAAGTTGCAATGAACCGGTTCATTCGGGCAGGCGGGGGGGGGGGGGGGGGGGGGTAGGCCCAAATTTGAAATCAATTTGAAATTTAATGTGCTGAAATTTGAAAATCGCGCCGATAATTCGCTCAGGGGGGGGGGGGGGGGGGTATCTCCAAAAAAGGTAAAATGAACGTGTTTTTACACGTTTTTTCCCCAGGGGGGGGGGGGGGGGCCACTGCATTCAGGTAAATACCGTGAATTGCCTTTAAAGATTCCCGGAAGCCCGACCAACCCAGTGTCATTTATTTTCCCCCTTTTTCTAATGATCTAGTGATGTCCTCGAATAGAAACACTGGTAGTATATGATATCATAAATTTACTTGACGGCATATTGAATATAAACACACACGCACGCTCACGCACATACCCTGCACACACACATATATAAATGTTTGGAGCCCGGCTATCCACCAAAAATATTGTTCACTGTATATTTTGGGTTCAATGCCATTATACTAATTAAATTGAAACTATCAGCTTCAAATATTACTTCTTTATAGAAGTTGAAATCTTTGTTGGACGACTCCATCAAGCTTTGAAGAAAGTTTCTGACGATCCATTCATGCATGTAACATTGAATAATATTGATTATGCCATTGATGATCTATTTATGATGATGATGTACAGTGTATGTCTCCATACAAGTGCATATTTGAATATAATTAATCAGAAAAAATCAAATCAACCTAAAGAGATTGTGCAAGTTTATTTCCAAAATTGCA